AATTAAGCAATTGAAAAGTGTCTATTTGAGACTATTACCTGGATAAAATTTAAGTTAAACAGTTTCTAGCACAACCAAATCCTATATAGTGGCAGTGCTGGACCAAAATCATCGCTCAGGATGTATATCCAATAATTAGGAGAAAGCTTCTAAATCAACAAACGTGTTCATTTTGATGAAGAAACTAATAATATGGGTCAATACAACGTAAAAATCTTCATAAAAATTCTTACAGTTGAAAACTGACAGCTGCTTAGACACCACAGAATATTGCAGCCGTATCTGAATATGGCTCATATTGGCTTTATATTTGCAATTGACCTGTCAGGCTATCGAACAAGTTCCGGTACTGGTCTAGATGAAAAAAAGAGTTGCAATTTAAAAGAAATATAAGTCAAATTATTAAAGGTAATCATTTTCTTACCTTCCATTTTTAAAATAATATTTTTCCAATTTTCCCTTTCCAGAAAACTTTATATCCTTTTCTTGGCATCTCTAAAAACGTATGTTTTTAGATCGGATCTGAGTTGGAATAATAAATTTTGGGAAATGAAATATTTTCAATAAAAGACTTCTTTAAACATGTTCCACAAGGATTCCAAAATAATTTCCATATATAGCGAAAAATATACGTCACATTTACTAGAAGTTATAACACCTTATGTAACTGTATTCGACTAGTTGTAGTTTTTCACATCTGAATAAACTGTCCAAAACTGATTTCAAATTAAATCATCACAAATTCATATAACCTGATTGAGTCATTGAGTCAAAAAAAAACACCGAATTGCTTTTTGAACGAAAATAAAAAAAGAATTTTTGGTTTTTATGTTTTTTTTTTTTTCTTTGAATATTTTTATTTCGAAAGTATTTTTTTTATTGTTGTTTATTTGTTTTATTTTTATTAAAAGAGATTATCTACATTTCATAAATAGAAAAGCAATAACGAAAATAGCAGCAAAGCTTAAAAAATAATATATCTATGTATATAAATCTTATTATGGAAATGGGAAAACTTATACAAAAAGAAAAATATTCTACAAATGATTGTACAAATTATTATTATTTTTTATTAAAAAAAAAACTAAACTTAGACTGAGAGTTTATTTTGCTTCTTTCATTTTCTTTTTTCTTTAAAATTAAAATTATTTTAATTTTTTTAATAAATATTTTTATTTTATGTTCTCGTAAAAAAAGACTTTAAAAATTAAGAATTAAATATAAATAATGAACTTCTATGATATTTGTTGTGTTGAATGTGTGTGGGGGATATTTCTTTACGTTTCATGTTCTTCTTCTTTTGAAATGATTACATTTGGAATTAAATTTATTTGTTTTTCGCTTTTTTTATTACAATGATAATAATAATAATGTATACTAATAATTTAATAATATGAATATGCGATTCTTTTTTTCTGTGTTGTTCTTTATGTCTTCTTTGTTGTTGTTCTTCTTCTTTTTTATATTAGGCTAATTTATATTTTGTGGTTCTTTTTTATATAAATTAGTATAATTGTTGTTTTTTTTTTCACTTTTTAGAGAGGCTGTGTTTTTTTCGTTTTAAATAAAAAATGTATTCGTATCGAAATTGAATTTTGCAATATTTTCATAATTATGTTGTAGAAATTTCCGGGCCTATGGATACGGATGTAAGTAGTTTTGTTCAGAAATCAACTCACTTTGTGAAGGAGAGGACTAACAATTTTAAATGTTCTATTAAAACTAAAGTGAGCTTATTTGAATGAAAGCAATCAATTTATTTCTGAATTTGTAAGGAAACTCATTATGCTCAAACATATTTGCTTGTGGCCTCTTAATTTCTAGTTAGACTAAGCTTCCTGTAAAGAACTATCAAAATTATAGAATTGACACTAAATGCCCAAGAAGAAGTCTTTTAGCATTATCTTAATATACATTCTTGGCCCTGAAAGTTCCCTAGCAACAGCAGTGCTGAAATTGCAAAAATAAATATATCGGTCATAAAAACTGGATTGATTACATAAATTGGTTTTTGTTTGTTTTTGGTGTGAAATTCATAAGCCGGTCGTAGAAAAAGCTCTGCACGGCTAAGGATTTTCCCCAAATTGCACATAAAGCCAGTAAAATACCTTTGCAGATTTCCATGCAAAGACAAGAAATCAATATATTTTTTAGACTCAATTAGAATTCAGAAGAGGTAAATGTGTGGTATTTGTGAAGAATACATTCACGACAATCCCGTTGGATAGGATGGGAAATTATGGTCTCTTTTTTATGGATAACCTGCAACATGTCTTCCATTTTGATGCCTCTTTAATCGAAAGAGATTATTTTAAAAAATATTCTATCGATAGAAAGATTAAATAGAATAGAATACCCTTCTCAGTCCTCTTTTAGATATATAGATGCATTTCCGCAGGGTTTGAGATATCCAAAGAATTTAGGCTAAGCTTTTAAAATCTTGTGTTTATGGAAGATATTTGAAACATTTTTTTTAGAAATAGCATTTTTTTAAGTGGTATACAAATAGAACCCAATTTAAAAGACTTTTAATAATAAAATATCTTTTAAAGTACTTCTAATCATATAAGAAGATGTAATAAGTCTTCCTGTCAAATATAACAATTTAGTTTTCATACGTAGTCATACGAGACCTTTTTATATGTGGAAGACCATTTAGAGACCTGGACAATCAACAAAATAGTGGTCCTTTGTTAACAGGATAGCCTCTAGAGATTTTCTTTTAGACCACATTCTTGTATGACATTTAGAAAAATTCTAAAACCGATTTTTTTGACGGCAATTTAAGAGATTAAATATTATTTACAGGTCCACAAATCCTCCACAGAGAATACCGTCTTAAATACCTTACAGAAATCTTCTAAAAGTGGGGCAATTATTATTTAGAGGTTATTTATTAACAGAATATCCTTTAATGATTCGCTATCAAGGAACCTTCTTGAATGACATTTTGAATACTTCTAATAAAGGTTTAAGAGATTACATTTTATTTACAGGACCGGAAATCCTCCATATAGAAGACCTTCCTAAGTACCTTTAAGAAATCTTCTAGACATAGAAGACTTTTTCTGTGTCTTTTTCCATAAAAAAAATATTTCCCGTCAACAGATGTATTATTTAATTGTTAATTTTTAATGTCAATTTAAAAAAGTCTCTTTATTTGATAGCTGTTTAGAGTACTCTTTCCATTTTTAGGGATCTTCTTTCCTTTTAACTTATATTAGAGGTGTACTAGATAAAGAAGATCTTCCATACACCGAATACCCTTTCAAATGCCTTTTCCAATACCCGTTTTCCTTTTCCACCTATCCAGAATCTCTAAGAAGTATTTTATTCATAGAGAACATCTTCAATTCCCCTTTATATATATTAAAGACCATTTACAGCCTTGACCAAGAAGACGAGATAGTTAAGACCTTTTCAGGAAAATCTTTCCACCAATGGTCTTTTGTGGTTTTCTTTCCTTTAAATATATATTAGAAGTCTCTCCGAAAACCTGTAGAAAATTAAAGAGGTCTGCTCATAACGAGCATTTAACAGGCCTTTCATTCATTTTCTAATCAATTAAAACGCTTGAGGGATATTTTAGTTACAAAACCCTTTGAAGTTTTCTTCTCATAGAATCTAAAAAAACCTTTAAGATGTGTTCCTTCCATAGAAGGGGTTTTCCAAAAAAACATCCAAGAAGTCGGGATATTTAAGATAATTTCAGAGAAATCTTTCCACCGAAGGTCTTTTGTGGTTGTTTTCCTTTAGTATATATTTGAGGTCGGTCTTCTAATTGTTGAGTATCTTCCATACTATGAACACCATTTAGAAAGCCTCTTCGAAGTCCTGGATAATCTGTAAGAGGTCTGCACATAGGGAGCATCTAACAGGTCGTTTTTTCACCTTCTAAATAATTAGGGACCTTTAGGGAGATTTTAGTTATAAAACCCCTTTGAAGTTTTCTTCTCATAAAATCTAAAAAAACCTTTAAGAGGTCTTACTTCCTTAGAAGGGTTTCTTTCAATAAAACATCCAAGAAGACGGGATATTTAAGGCCATTTCAGGGAAATATTTCCACAAATGGTCTTTTGTGGTTTTCTTTTCCTTAAAAGACTAGAGGCCTTCTAATTGTGGAATATCTTACACTATATGAACACCATTTAGAGTGTTATTTCGAAGTCCTGGAGAATCTGTAAGAGATCTGTTCATATGGATTATCTAACAGGTCTTTTATTCACCCTTTAAATAATTAGGGACCTTTAGGGAGATTTTAGTTATAAAACCCCTTTGAAGTATTCTTCTCATAAAATCTAAAAAAAACCTTTAGGAGGTTCCCCTTTCATAAAAGGGATTTTTCCAAGAAATAATAATCCTTTAAAGGCCACATAACCATACAAAAATTATGAATGTCCATCTCGATATCTTCTTAACATGGAAAATCATCCACACATTCTTCTTACATTAATTATCTCTTTGACCATTTTTAGTCACAGACAATTTCGGATATGCTGTAAAGGTATTCCACCCTTCTATATTGATATTGAAGTCTCCTTTACATATACCTTTCAGAAAAAAAATAAATTTTAAAGCATTTTGCTAGGCTCCTGGTTTCTGAAGTAATTCTTAATTCTTTTAGAATTATACGGGTTTATCATGTCAGAACTGAATTAAGCTTGGGAAAAATAAAGCCTTTTGCTAGGCTCCTGGACTCAGAAGTAATTCTTAATTCTTTTAGAATTATACGGATCTACCATGTCAGAACTGAATTAAGCTTGGGGAAAATATTGAAAACATTTTGTTTAAATTTTTTTAAGAAATAAACATTAAAATTCAATAAAAGAAATCTAAAGAGTCGTGTACCAAGACAAGTGGACAACCCCTGAATAAAAATACAAAACTCATAAAATTTTCTTGAAGAGCGATTTCTTTACTTTAGAAAAGCGTCGGGGCAGAACATGGTATTTGCAAACAAAAAATATATGGGTTTCATAAATGAGTTTTTTTTTTCTTCACATGTTTCCGGTAGTATTGTTGTCGTTTGAGTAATGCGTGTGAATGTGATTTTGTTTTATGAATTGTTTATAGTTTGTTTTTGTCTTTGTTTTTTTCAGTTTTTTTTTTCTTTTCAATATAATATTGTAGTTATGTATAGATATAGTATAGCTAAATAGATGTAAATGTAATTTGACAATTATGTTTTTTTTTTTGTTTAATTATTTATATTTTCTTTGCAAATTGTGTATTTTCTCTCCTTGGTTGTGATTGGTTGGTTGGATGTTTGGGTTTTTCTTTTTTGTTTTCTTTAATTATGTATAGTATGTATATATTTTATTTATATATATAGAAATATGAAATAATTTCAGTTGGTTTCATTCATTCTCATGGTTTACGTTTTGTTGCTGTTGTTCTTGTTTTGGAAAAACTACAATTGTTAATATTTTTTCAAGTTTTTTTTTATTTTGTTTTATTTTATTTTCTTTAAGTTTTATTTAATTTAAAGGTGTGATATTGTGACAACATATTTAGCGTTATGGTAAATGGTATCTCTCCGAGTAATTTATGTGAATATGTTTCTGTTTTTATTTTATTTTTTTCAGAAAGGTTTTGGTATAATTGGGATTTTAACCTTTGTTTCTTCTTCTTCTTCTTCTTCGACTCTCTACTAAGTTGTTTTCTTTTAATTTAGTTTTTTTTATTTTTTATTTAAATGAGGTGTGTTGTTTTTTATATTTTTGTTTCATCCATTCCTTACTAGATTCTCTTGTGTTTTAATGTTGGAGAGGAGGAGGAGGGGATTTACGTACCATTGGCTTTTGGTAACGGTCGTACTAAATATAATTTTTCGCCCTGTTTATTTGTATAGATGGGCGCTCTTTGGTAATGATCTACTAGCTGATCTAGAGTATGAAACTTACGTTGGCCTATGCAGTACATGTTGTTTTCCACATGAACACGGAAATGTTTGTTGCGTCCGGGAGCCTTGAGAGAAACCGAATAGTCACCCATCTGCAAAAGGAGGACATAATTGATATTATTAAAAAATATACTTGGAAAATATCGGAGTTTCTACTTACATTGGTCTCACTATCACGTATTAGAAAATCGCCATCGTGACCATGCTGATTTAATACCGTATCACATTGGCTGCGTGTTATGGCCCCGTAATACCATGATTTGCCAGCCAAATTTGGCCTTTCCATGGGTGGCGGTGAATTTTGTGGCATACCATCGGCCCGACGATCGATCGAATCCCCATTGGCATTGGTGGCATTGTTACCATTGCCCGCAGCGCCACCATTGTTGCGATATGGTGTACTAAGATATTCATTTAACTCTTGTAAATAATTGCGTGGAACTAAACCGACTTGACCCTGATTGTTGCGTGCCTTATACCAGTCCGGATCGGAGGCAGGGCGATCAACAATCTCTAAACGATCTCCCTTTTCGAATGACAGCTCTTGATCGTTATTGGAATTGAAACTATATAAAGCGACCTGGGGAAGGGATAAAAATAAATTTGCATTAGTTGAAAATTTTGAAAAAAAAAATAAAACAAATATTTCAGGGTTAAATTAAAACTGCAAATGAATTTATGAATTTATGAATTTATTCTCCTACAAAGCATGATTTTAGAAGGATGACGTCAAAGCCAAAATTGTTCCTCATCGAATTTCACTATAAGTTGCCAAATTTCACTATAAATATATAAACAACCTGGGGGAGTGATAAATAGTTGAAGGTTTTGAAATTAATACTTCAGGGTTAAATTAAAACTGCATCTGAATTTATGCAAAATTCTCCTACAAAATATTATTTTAGAAGGATGACATCAAAGACAAATTTTTTTTTTCATCAAATTTCACTATAGGTTTCCAAAGGAGAAAAATCTCCATTTCCATTGTATTTCAAAAAAATATTTGATTAATGTTGCCAAAAAATGCGAACATATTTCATAATTTTTGATCAATTTTCCTCTTTTGACTTTTTTCGAGTTTATGCATGAAAGTAACACAAAATTGCATTTTTGCCCGAAAGTGTCAATAGAAGAAATATTCTACACAAAATTTTACTATAAATCTCAGAGTAAAACATATGTCTAGCTTTAATAGTTTTAAAGATAATTACGTTCGAAATTTATATAGTACAAGTGAAAATTATGGGTTTAAGTTTTTTTGCTGCTAATATCTCGTTAAAAAATAATTTTTTGGGGAAAATGTCAAAGGGAAAGTGTCCTTAATAGTCACCGAAGAAATGAAACCGCTATTTTTATTATATATTCATAAAACATTTGCATCAATGTGTCCAAACGATAGACGAAAATATTTTCAAATTTTTTGGCATTTTCTACAGGGTGAGATAAAAAACTGCAACAAAGTCGAACGCCATAATTATTGAACAAAAGCAAAAAATGTCGGAAATAGCATCAAATTTTAGAATAAGTTTAGATTTGTTCGATTTGGTCACTTTTAGCACAAATTATGGCCTTCAAACGGCCAATGTATTTTGGCCCATTCCCGGCGAAGCGCTTGCTTGAGATGATCGACGCTTTGGTATTTTTAGTGCCAACCCTGCTTTCCAAAATGCTCCAGACACAATAGTCCAACGGATTGGTATCCGGAGATTTTGGGGGTAATTGTGCGCTGGAAATGAAGCGAAGAACCTCATTTTGTAACCATTCTTGGGTGGCGCGTGCTGAGTGCGATGGTGCTGAGTCCTGTTGGAATGTCCAAGGTCTGCGGCCAAAATGTTTGCGTGCCAAAAGGCTTTAATACACCTTCCATAATATTTTCGCGATAATATTCGGCATTTATTCTTATGTCACGGTCGATTAATACGAGAGGAGAGCGACCATCGGCTGTTATGGTGGATCACACCATCACCATGGTCGGCGCTTGAGTTCTGGTGGCGCGTGCTGAGTCCTGTTGGAATGTCCAAGGTCTGCGGCCAAAATGTTTGCGTGCCCAAGGCTTTAATACACCCTCCATAATATTTTTGCGATAATATTCGGCATTTATTCTGTTGCCACGGTCTATTAATACGAGCGTAGAGCGACCATCGGCTGTTATGGTGGCCCACACCATCACCATGGCCGGCGCTTGAGTTGTGGTGGCCAACCGAAGGTTCACATTTTCAGCTGACCTCTTTGGCAAGTAAACACCATCTTTTTGTTTGTTTACAAACTGCTGGACAACGAATGTTTTCTCATCGGAGGAAACCAAATTCGGCAGTTCACCACTTTCGGCCAAGCGAAGCAACTCTTTTGCTCTTTTGAGTCTATTTTCTTTCTGATGTGGTGTATGTTCTCGCACTCTTTGCAATTTAATGGTTTTACCCCGAGCTCATTTTTCAATATTTGCCGAATGGAATATTGCGATATGTTCAGATCACAAGCCATTTTTCGGCCTTGCCATTGCGACGAAGGGTTTCGATCAAGTCGCTTCTTGACTTTTCGAACCACTTCTGCTGTGTTGCTATGTTCTTCCGTTCACTTCCTTGACGTCGGGCTACGCTACCAGTTCTGGAAATTTTTCACCAAAATGCTTTTGTACGCTTGTAAACAATATAATGAGCAGTCACTGGAATAATTTTAACAGCTGTCGGACGAGTGGCTTCGAAATGACAGCAGTCTGAAATTGGTTGCAGTATTTTTATCTCACCCTGTATCACAGTAAACTATCACGAATTTTTATTATTAGAACGCTTTTTATTTTCGACAAATTTTTGCAGGAATTAGCTGCAATTTTTGTCATAACTTCACTGTCCAAAAGTCAGTCTGTGAAGTGGAAAATTCCCTGATTTGTTGTTCAAACCCCCAAAATATTTTTCGTTTTTTTATGCCAAACTTTTCTTAGGTCTTTATATGGACTTGGCCACATACTAAGGCATCCAAATATTTAGAGATATTTCCTTGCATCAAATATCCATTTTTGTTCTGAATACTCACCACTATATCTAATACATTTTCCGCCATTGCATATGTATGTATTTCACCATCGTTATCACAATCTTCGGTTGTGTAGTTGCTTGGAAACCAGCCAACGGCATTACCACTTTGTCCCCGCCACCAGCCATCATTGGATTTCTCCAATATCAATATTCGTGTACCCTTGGTCAGTGAGAGTTCATCGGGCTGTTGGGCTTGATAGTTGTATTTAACAATGGCTGAACCAATTGCCTCTGATGGATCGGGTGGCAGTCTTCGCGACATTGTTGGACTTTCGATTTGTCTTGATGGCGAACAATTGGGTAGGGTCTTGGAACCGGAACCCTTTTTCACTTTTTTCTTAATACTGAAATGGTAAGAAAAGAGAGGAAATGTTAATGATCAATATTTGAATAGTTTGAAATCAAAAAACGCAAAAATATTTTCCTATTTTTTTTAAGATTATTTTTGTCATTTTTTTTTTATTTTTTTGATGAATGAATGTAAAATGGAACTTAGTTTTGGATGATTATTGTCAAAGGAGGAAATATTCTTCACAAAATTGCACTATGAGTCTCAGAATGGACTATTTATCTATGAATCATAGTTGTTAAAAGAATGTTAATCAAGATTTTTATATTTAAAGTGGATTTTATAAATTTACGTTTTTGACTATTTATACCTTTATGATCTGAGTAAAAATCTCTTTACTTATTATATATTGTCGAAGAAAGATATACTCTAGACCACATTTAATTATGAGTATCTGAACAAGAAAAATGTGTAAATGTGTATCATACAATAACAGCTCCAATTTTGGTTTAAAAATCCTTTTTCGACATATTGTGGACTTTTCTGAATTCGCTGCAAATTTTCTTATAATTTCACTGTTCAATAAGAAGCCTAGACTGTAAAAAATTTCAAGCGGATTTGACAGTACTTGGTATGTAGATCAAAACCCTTAACCCTTTCGGGATTTTAAGACAACTTTTTTAAAGGGGTTATATAGCCTTGACATTTTTGAGACATTTTTCGCAACATTAAACATAGACAGTTTATAGATGGCTTTGGTTTTAAAAATGGGTCATGTGGTCGAATTATTGGTATGGTCCAATTTCAAGTCTTTCCCTTTCATTTCTTTAGTCATATTTTCATTTTACTTCGTCAAATTTCAAATATTTGGAGTTCTTTGTATGTAGAACCCCAATTTGTAAAAAGTTATCAATATGGATACAAGTTTTGTTATAGCCCTATACATAGACAAGGAGAGAGAAAATTCCCATTATATTTAATAATTTCGAGGGTCTTGGCCATATTTTCCAACCGATTTGGGCGTAAATCACTGTTTCGTAGTAAATTTCAATCCCCCATAAAAATTATCTTTCGAGTTAGTTTCATTCTAGGAGCTGAAAATATTGTGTCAATCGATCTGGCTGACATATTGGTAATCCACAAGAAGAGTCCTTCGAAAAATCCACGTTTGGAGCTCTGATAACCTTTCAAAAATTCCTTTTAAATGTCCAAGCCTGGAACTCTGGCAACCCTTCAAAAATCTCTCACAAAATTCCTTCTAAAAGTCCACATTTGAAGCTCTTATAACCCATCAAAAATCTCTCACAAAATTCCTTTTAAAAGTCTACGCTTGGAGCTTGATAACCGATCAAAAATCTCTCACCAAATTTCTTTAAAATATCTTCAAAAATTCTACGCTTGGAGCTCTGATAACCCTTAAAACTCTCTCACAACATTCATTTGAGAATTTTTTTGTAAAAGTCCACATTTGGAGCTCTGATTGTCCTACAAAAATCTATTACAAAATTTCTCAAAAAATCGTTTAAAGTCCTCGCTAAGAGCTCCGATCTTCGTTTAAAAATCTCTCACAAGATTCCTTCAAAATTTTTTTTAATTCCACGCATAGGACTCTGATAGCCCTTTAAAAACATCCCGCAATTTTTTTTAAAGGAAAACTTTGAAAAGTTCACGCTTGGAGCTCTGAAAGTTCTTTAAATACTTTTCACAAAATTCCTTAAAGAAAAACGTTTAAAAGTTCACCTTTGGAGCTCTGAAAGTCTCTCAAAAATTACTGACAAAATCCCTTAACAAATCCACGATTATACCTTTGAGAGTCCCAAAAATTATTTTGAAAAATTCACGCTTGGAGCTCAGATAGTGTTTCAAAAAATTCTTTTGAAAAATCTCCCCTTAGAGCTGAGATAGTGGACCAAAAAATTGTTTTTAAAATCCAACCTTAAAGTTTAGATACTGAATCAAACATTATTTTAAAATCCACGCTTAGAGCTCAGATGGTGCTTCAAAAAAATATTTAAAAAAATCCACACTTAGAGTTCAGATAGTGATTTAAAAAATTATTTTAACAATCCACCCACATAATTCCGATAGTCGTTCAAAATTTTCTTTTAAAAAATCCAAGCTTAGAGCTCTAATAGTGTTTAAAAAAGCTTAGATCTCCATTGGTTCTTGAACAATTTTTTTTAAAAGATCCTTGTCAAAAAATCTTTTAAAAAATCCATGCATAGAGCTCTGTGGGTCCTTGAAAAAAAAACTTTTTAAAAAATTCACGCTTAGAGTTGTGAAAATCCTTGAAAAAAAATCTTTTAAAAAATGCAGTCTTAGAGCTGTCAAAGTACTTGAAAAAAATCTTTTAAAAAATCTAGGCTTAGAGATCTGTTGATGCTTGAAAAAAATTCTTTTAAAAAATCTAGGCTTAGAGATCTGTTGATGCTTGAAAAAAAATCTTTTAAAAAATCTAGGCTTAGAGATCTGTTGATGCTTGAAAAAATTCTTTTAAAAAATCCACGCTTAAAGCTCTATTGATGCTTGAAAAAATTCTTTTAAAAAACGATGCTTAGAGCTCTGTTGATGCTTAAAAAACCTCCTTTAAAAAATCTCTGTTGGTGCTTGAAAAAAACATTTAAAAAAAATCTAAGCTTAGAGCTCTGTTGATGCTTGAAAAAATTCTTTTAAAAATCCACGCTTAAAGCTCTGTTGATGCTTTAAAAAAATATTTTAAAAAATCTAAGCTTAGAGCTCCGTTGATACTTGAAAAAATCTCTTAAAAAATCCACGCTTAGAGCTCTGTTGGTCTTTGAAAAAAAATATTTTAAAAATCCACGCATAGAACTCAGTTGGTCTTTGAAAAAAATGATGTTAAAAATCCACGTTTAGAGCTCAGTTGGTCTTTGAAAAAAAAATATTTTAAAAATCCACGAATGAATGATTTTTTTGGGAGATACCGGCTGAAATGTTCTATCAATTCAAATAAACATTTCATAAATTTTTTGATTTGTTTTTAGAAAACTTTTCTGAAACCGATTTCGTTCCAAGAGACCTAGAGTCTAACTCAGTGAGGCTACATCAAACGATGTATATCCTCTGTAGCCCTACAAAGCTGGTGAGTATACCTTTCAACTTATCATTCACACCGTAAAAGTATACTATATACTTTTAATACCGGCTTTATTGGGACAAGACCAAGGTCAACATCAAATCAAAAGTATTTTTGATTTCTAAAAAAATAGTTACACGTTTGCAAAGTTTAATTCCAAATGAAAATGTTTATCAATTGATTACATTCATCTCAAATATGTCCCCAATATTCTCATTGACACTTTTTTGGGGCTGAGGTTAGCCTCACGATTTCGTCATTAATTTACTTTAAGTTTGAGCTTATGGGGTATGTGAGAGAGCGCAACAATGAGTGTATTTTTTTTTATCAATAATTTTTTTATTACTTTTTATTACAACAAATATTACGTAAACTACAATCAAAACAAACCAGCAATAACTGGGGGACAGACAGACAGACAGACAAATCAACATATCACAGAAAAACAATTTAAGGGGAGGCGGCATTTAAATGATATCTCTCTGTGTTGTCTGGGTACTTCTTTCACCACCATTATTGTGCCACGCGAGTTCATAACGAGACAAAAATAAAAAAGTACAAACGACCGAACAACTGAATCAAAAAAAAAAAAACATAAAAACATACGCTTCAAGAATGGTTAATAGCTATTATTATTATTATTCTAACGAAAAAAGAAGGATGAGGAGATAATTTAACGCTTCATAAGTATACGTTTTGTCGCTTTCGAAAGATTGAGAAAGACCCGGCAGGCAGCAGGCAGACAAACACGCACCGTCAGCAATAGGGGTACAACTAAAGTCTAAATGATGAACTTCTTCCAATTCAAAGTGTTACACACACAGTGGGGGGCTGTGCTGCTTGTCGAACATGAATTACTGAATGAATTGGGGTTGGGAGGAGAAGAGAGAGAACGCACTCTCATAACAAGGCAATAACAATATGTTTTGAAGGCTTCAATGGCAGCTGTGATAACAGCAACCCACAGAACGAGTGAATGGGCAGACGACAAACACTCAATTTAGAGGGAATTTAGAAAGAAAGAAAAGTATGTTTTTTTGTACAATTTAAGAAGAAAATACCATAAAATTTGCAAACTAAATTGTGTTATAAGAATAAATTTGGCGTAAAAAATATAACATAAACATACATACATTTATAACATAATATACAAAGCAAACATACATAATAATATTGTACAAAATATCTTCTACTTAATAAATAAATTAAACGAAGCAAAATAGGCCAAAGAGCTAAAGAAAGAAAGAAAGCATTTTTTTCGGGGATGAAAACAAGACTTGTCTTTGGTAAAAAAGAAAAAAACAAACATTGGATTAGTGATTATTCGATTGCGATTGCCATTATTGTCGATTGTACTACTCACCTATCGAACAGTGATGGTTTCTCCTTTTTCACATAATTACTGGGCACATATCCGGATAAGTTACGATTGTTCTGTACACGCCACCAGTGCTTGGTATCATCTAACAAAAGGTAACGTTCATTTTTCCGTAAATCCAATTCTTGTGCTCCCTGTGCTGCATAATCGTATTTGGCTACCACGTAGCAAACGTCTTCTTGTGATTTTCCTAGGGTGAGAGATTTTAGAAATTAAAAATTAGAAATTATTCTTAAGAAATTTGTTAATCTATAAAATACTAAAACAAAATATTTTATTTTCGGACTTGTAAAGGGCTTTAAATTCATAAGAGGAGATCTATAAAGAGGTCCTCAGTCTTTTATTCTCAGCACTGTAAAAGGGAGTTTTATCATAAGTCCTATAGGAAATTCATAAAGGACTTTATTATAAACGAGAGATCTTCGAACTATGGAGTATTTTAGGTCAACTACATAAGAGCAGACCTATTAAAAAGATCCTCCATCCGTGCCTACACACCATCTGTAAAAGGTATTATATTTTTAAAGACCTAGAAAACAATCGTATTTTTATATTTATTTTTGAAGGTCCTCTCAGGAGAGTTATATGCATGCCAAAGCTCTTAAAAGTTGTCTTTACATAATTTCCTCCAATATCTAAAAACAAATTGAGTGAAGTTAAAAAAAAATCTTTGACTCAACTAATCTGAATAATTTTAGGCGCATATTTGGTGCCAAATGAAAGAATTCTTGAAGGATATTATTAGGTAATAATGAGAGGACTTTTAAACGAAATTTTTTAAAAGTCAGTAGACCGATTTTAATGAAATATTTTATGGAGTTATCTGAATTCTAAAAAAGCGGATTTTTAAAGAATGTGTTTAGACAGAAATCTCATGGATTTTTTTGGCACTATCAGATTTCTAAACCAGTGGACTTTTAGGCACCAATGAGATTGGATTATGAGGTACTAATTGACTCGAGGAATATGTTTAGGCAATAATTAGTAAAGCTTTAGCAGTAAACCAATTTCAAATCCAGCGGAGTTTTAGAAACTGATTTTTGTCGCCAATGAGTACATTTCTTAAAGTATATTTTAAGGCGCCAATGAATTGTATAAGGAAGTAATCAATCGAATATTTTAAGGTTCTACTGAGCGGATATTTATAGATAATTTTAAGGCGTAACGGGAATTCTAAATTGGTGGATTTCTAGAAAACTATTTTAGGTGTCAATGAGCGGATCTTGAAATAATATTTTAGGCGTAATCTAATTTCTAAAATAGTGAATTTTTGTTCAGTGTTTTTGAAACCGATAATTTTAAGCACTATAAGATTAATTTCCAGGATATATTTGTAGGCAATAATGATTTTTTTGAGAATGTTAATGACTTCAATAACAGTTGACTCTTTCGAAGAATATTGCAAGGCGCCAATGGGTGGATTTTTATTGAATATTTTAAGTGATAAACTAAATGTGAAGAATATTGCAAGGCGCCAATGGTTGCCTTTTTATTAAATATTTTAGGGCATAAACTAAATTTGAAGAATATTTTTAGGCATAACCTAATTTATAAATTGGTATCATTCAGCGAATTTTTAGATAATGTTTTTATTTTATTTCGAAGAATATTTTAGAGACAAATGATGTTCAAATATTACTTCTAGGCGCTAACAATTGCCAATTATAAAAAATATTGACAAGGAATTCTAAGGAATATTTTTAGGAACTATTGAGGGGATTTCTTTGGATGCCTGAATTGTACACTTTTTTTTTCAAGCACCAATAAAGTCAAAACCCTTGGATTTTTTGAGAATAATTTTAGGGGCGATCCATACTCCAAATTCCTGACAATTTCAGAATACTCTAGGGCGACACGTCATTTCATAAACATATGAATTTTAAGCAATACCTTTAGGCGCCACAAAATTTGGATTTTAAATAACATTTTAAGGAACTGTCTAAAGTTTAAACTTTTGGATTGTCCAAAAAATATTTCTAGGGGGTCCCTAACTATAAATTTTGACATAATTGAGACATTGACTCCAAGCAGGTATAAATTAAACCTCTAATCAAAAGGCAAGGCAGCCGGAGTCTTGTATGACCAACTAGGAATGGCCTACGCCTACAAGTCGGATGGAAAGTGCAGTGTTTTTCAGGCAATGGTCTTTGCGATAATCAACAAAGCGGCAGAACTAATACAAATTAATTATAAATTAAAAAGATGGGCGCCGATATGTTAGAAGAAAACCAAGAGATCTTCTTATAGAAGACCAAGAGGTCTTCTCTTAGTAGACGAGAAGTTCTTCGTTTGGAAGACGAAAAGATCTTCTCATAGAGGACGAGAAGATCTTCTTTTAGAGGACGGGAAGGTCTTATCTTAGAAGAAAAGAAGGTCTCTCTGAATAGAAGACCACAAAGGGCTTCTTATGGAAAGCCAGAAAGGTCTTCTTACAGAAAACCGAAAAGGTCTACTCTAAGAAGGTGGGAAGGGCTTTTCCTAGAAGACAAGAAGTTTTTCTCTTAGAGGAGGAGAAGGTCTTCTCTTAGAGGACGAGAAGGTCTTTTCACAAAAGACACGAAGGTATTCTTATAGAAGACCAGGAAGGTCTTCTTATAGAACTCCAGAAAGGTCTTCTCAAAGAAGATGTGAAGGTGTTCTCATAGAAGACGTGAAGGTCTTCTCCTAGAAGACCAGAAGTCGAGAAAGTCTTCTAATAAAATACGGAAAGGTCTTCTTAGAAGGTATATTCTCGTAGAAGGCCAAGAGGTCTTTTCAAAGAAGGTTAGAAGGTCTCCTCATAAAAGACCATAAGGTCTTGTCATAGAAGACCAGATAAGTTTTCTCATAGAAGCCCAGAAAGGTCTTCTCATGGAAGTCCGAAAGGTCTTTTCATAGAAGTTCGAAAATTCTTCTTATAGAAGACAGGAAGTTCTTCTCTTAGAAGACGAGAAGGCCTTCTCTTAGTATAAGAGAAGGTCTTCTCATAGAAGTCCAGTAAGGTCTTCTCATAGAAGACGAAAAGAGTCTTCTTATGGAAGACACCTTTTATGCCACTGTCCTTCTCTATTAAGAGAAACAATACAAGCTATGGGGGAACCATTAAATACTCTAGTTTTTTTAAGAAGATCGTTGGGCGCCACTTTAAAGCTTATTAAGCTGATACCTTTATTTTAAATACTTATTATGTTCTGTCGAACATTTTTGGTAGAATTTTTAAAATAATACGGGGAAAAGTAAAATCTTACCGTGCTTCATGTTGCCCGCCATTGATTGTTGACCACCACAACTGGAATTGCCACTACTGCTGCCGGCACTATAATCGCCACTGTTCGACGGCACTTGACTAAATGTTACACTTTTGTGTTGGGCACTACACGATGAGGCAGTCGAGAGATTTCTCTGGTGCTGGGAGGGCGGTGGTAGTGGTGGCTGTTGCTGCTGCTGTTGTTGAGGATAGCGCGTTTGATGGGCCGGTGAAGCTGGCGTTGTTGGATATGATGCCTGTTGTTGCTGCTGCTGTTGATTGGGATAGTAGTGAGTTGATCCCGCTGTTGTTGGTTGTGTTTGAAAGTTTTGATGTGGCAGTGGCTGTGGTTGTTGGTGATGTTTTGGTTGTTGTTGTTGTTGATGTGTTGTTGTGTTTGTTTGTGTCAATAAGGGTTCGGGGACAGTACGTGTAAAACGTTGAGGGTATTCCAACATTCCAAGAACTCCTCTAAATTAAGATTTAGAGGAGAGCTGTGTAAAAGAAAATTGTTTGGGGTGGGTGGATTTGGATCGTTGAGCGGTATTTGTTGAGGTATATTGGTTTGGAATCCAAGATCCTCTGCCGCCGCCGTTGCTTCAGTGTGTTTGTGGCCAATTAATTCTTCTTCGCCTTTTGGTTCCAGTTTCCGGATGAATTTAGATGTTGAAATGGAAAAAAAGAGATACAAAAGAAAATTGTTGATTGGAAAAATTGGAGATGACTTTTCAATATTTCTTCTTTTTTTTCAAATTCTCCTGGCTGTAGGTCCTAAGGGGGATGGATGATGTTGATGGTGATGATGATAATGCCAAAATTTTGTTTGCCGTCTGATGCTAATGCCACGTTCTTGATGGAGGTATGGATGGGTGGTGGTGGTGTTGGTGTCGGTGGTGGCGTTCTCCTTCTAAGTGGAATCCAATTCTTTGTAATGATCGTCTAAAGACTGTGAAGGCCAATGTTTAAACATTTCTAATGTTAGCGCAAACCCAAATCAGCAAAAATCATAACGAATCAAGCAATTCAGTGGTGTGAAGCAAAACGGAAAAGAGATGAAAAGAAACGAAATAAAAGAAAAAGAAAACGAATTAAATAAAAGTTGTGAAAAAAAGCGTAAATCAAATTTAAATATGGCAAATTGAATTTATTTTGAAAATTAATTAAATAATTGGTGAAGTATTTAAAGTGAGAGATGATAAAATATGATGATGTTGATGATGATAAATTAACCCATTGGGGCATGCAATTTTTTTTTTTTTTTTTGCATTCCATGCCAAAAAGTCCTTGCCCCAATGGGTTGGGTGGGTTATTTATTTGAGTTCAGCACAAAATGGTTTGGAGAGCTATGAAAATACCCTGGATATGATAGAATAAATTTTCCAAAAAAAAAAAAAAAAAAAAAATTATTCTGCTGTAGATTTGTTGTACCCTTTTTTTGGTTGGTTGGAATCTTCGAACCATTTTGAGCCATATTGATTCGAAATGAAAGCCAGCAATGATGCCCCACTTTGCCATGCTAATTTTTATAACACAGAGAGTTGTCGTTTGTCTACCCGCCTCCTTTCCTTCCCTCCCCTCCCTACCCCTCAATATTACATTCATATGCATTTCACTGAAGCATTCATTTGTTCCAACAGCCAGTCATTCATTCGCTCGTTCACTCATTCACTTATTGGGTGTTGTTTTTTGAGAAGAAGAAAAAAAAAGGAGAAGAAAAAGTTGGAAAAAAATATATCTATCGCAAAGTGGGTTGAGCAAATATTACTTCTAGAACGCTCATCGTCATCATCATCGTCAGAGTTCAGCAGTTCATGTGTCGTCGAAGCATTGAGTTCATGTTTGTTTTTCGTATTCATTTTTACAAAAAAAAAAAGAAAAAAAATCCAACAGCATTGAGAATACAACAAAAAACATGCTGACTCCCTCCAGCGTGCAGCAACACCAACAACTTGAAAGTCAATAATGAATTGCAAAATCTGTTTGGAATCTTCTTTTTACACTTCACAGCGTTCGCATACGCTGCGCCAGAAATGTCAAACAAATCGTCATATAGACGAATGTAACATACGATATTACAAGCAGCGGGATATATACACACAAGAACATATGTTGTACATACATACATTAGAAGATATTAGCCTTGCCATATATGGCCAAAAGATTAGTAGTAAAAATGTTAGAGAGGACCTTTTTACAGAGGACCTTTAATAGTTTTCTTTCTTTCCAAAGGGGGTAATTTTATCTTAACTGATAGTGTTGGGCGCCACCTAATTTGAATTTTTAAAGAATATTTTTAGGCGCAATAAAAATTTTAACTCATGGATTTTAGAAGAATATTTATAGGCACAATCTGAAATTGTTAATTCCGGATTTTCAAAAGAATATTTTTAGCCGAAATCTGAAGTTTTCTTTCTTTCCAGGGGGGACTATTTTCTCTTAACTGATACTGTTGGGCGCCACTTAATTTGAATTTTTAAAGAATATTTTTAGGCGCAATATGAAATTTTAACTCATGGATTTTGGAAGAATATTTATAGGCACAATCTGAAATTGTTAATTCCGGATTTTCAAAAGAATATTTTGAGCCGAAATCTATAGTTTTCTTTCTTTCTAGAGGGAGCTATTTTCTCTTAAGTGATACTGTTGGGCGCCACTTAATTTGAATTTTTAAAGGATATTTTTAGGCGCAATATGAAAGGTTAACTCATCAATTTTAGAAGATTTGTAGCCACAATCAGAAGTTTTTATGCCCAATCTGAAATGTTTAAACACATTTTTTAAAGAATATTCTTGGGCACAATCGGAAGGCACAAACTTATGGATTTTTAAAGAATATTTGTTTGGCGCAAAACTGAAGTTCAAAAGAATATTTTAAAGCCCAATCTGAAATTTGAACTGCTGACGTTTGAAAAGAATATTTTATGACGCCAATTGATGTTAAAAGAATATATTTAGCCGAAATTTGACGCATAAGCTAGTGGATTTAGGAGAATAATTTAAGGCGTAATCTAAAGTTCCAATCTGAAATTTCAAATCCTGTGTTATAAAAGAATATATTAAAGCGCAATCTGAAGTTTAAATTCGTGATTTTACAGAATATAGTTAAGGGAAATCCGATAAATGGGCTCGTGGACTTTTGAAGAATCTTTTATGCCGCAATCTCAAGTTTAAAATAATATTTCTAAGCCCAATCTGAAGATTAAACACAAAAATTTTTCAAAACAAAAAAAAAAACAGTAAAAAGGCAGTCAGATCGGCTGGACCGAACTTTGAATACCCTCCACCTTTTGGAACGAATTTGGAAATTTTCAAAAAAAAAAAAAAAAAAAAATCCGTTAAAAAACCGTTAAAAAATCTTAAAGATACGGAATATAGCAGTTTTATTGGACTCTATACGAATACGTGGATCTGCATAGGCAACTTTTGTCATAAGCCATTATAATATTTAAATACGAAACGAAAAATTCGGGTTAATAATGTAGCTAAAATCATCAAAATACCGAATATACGGAGGTGTCGTTGTAAAGGGGCTATAAGAAGTCCTCAAAAAAAAAAAAAAAATAAATAAAAAAAAAAAACAAAAAAAAGCAGTATGCTCGGCCGAGCCGAACTTTGAATACCCTCCACCATTTGGAACGAATTAGGAAATTTTCAAAAAAAAAAAAATAAATAAATAAAATCCGTTAAAAAAATAAAATCTGTTAAAATCTTAAAAATACCGAATATAGCAGTTATATTGGAGTCTATACGAAGACCTGGACATAGGCAACTTTTGGTCATAAGCCTTTACAATATTCAAATACGAAACGAAAAAAAAAATCGGGTGAATAATGTAGCTACATTCTTCAAAATACCGAATATAGGGACTATACGTTATATCGGGGCTATATGAAGACCTAGACCTGCATACACATTTTTTTTGTCACAGGCTGTAGGTACCCAGTACGATTTCTAAATACGAAATTTGAAAAGATTCCGGTAAATAAAATCAAAATATTGAATCGGGGGAATTTCCTTAGAAAAATATTCCTTAAAGTGGCAACTCTGCGGAAGCGTGTGCAATTACGAAAACATGGAAATTAATTTGGTGGTATTGGCGATAAGAGCTGAAAAAATTGTAGTTTGGAAAATGGGTCAATAGACAGCGACACAAAGAATTCTCAAAGGTAAAGGAAATTCAAATGGATTTTGAGGTTAGTAAATTCAGTTGAATCGAAAATGTCGAACACATTTAAATTGAATGACGTTGGGCGCCACTATGAAGAATTTTTCAAAAAAATATAAAAACATGATTTAAAAGCTGACATGTTGAGAAGTATTTTTTTGGAGATTCGAGATTTTTTTACAATGTTTACATGTTTTCACTTTAAACAATATATTTCTACATGCAGAATGTCATGCATAGTGGGCGTGCCGAGTAAAATATCTTAAATAAATTATCATTTTCCACAATTTTATGAAAGTGTTTTAAAATAAAATTAATTTCTCGTCTCACACCAGCTCTTTAACAGTGTCTTAGTCAAAACACCTCAAGGCCCTGACATTAGATATTCAGATATGGGATGAAAATAGATTAGAATTATGGAAACGAAATTTTTAAGAAGAGATAATGCACCTGTGATGCTAGGATTTTAAAGAAGCTTATTCCAACAATTAAAAAAAATGTGGAAGAGGTTGGCCCCTCTTCCACTTTATTTAGATTTTTTTGCACTGTAAACTTTTAAAACTCCGAAATCCGGATTCGTAAAGGACTTTTTGTTCAAGAATCACAGAATTTTAAATATATGTTTAAAAGACCTTTCTGGCTAGATACCATGGATTTGTATAAAATATTTTGGGATTTTTTTTAAAAATATTCTTAAAGACAATTATAATTGCTTTTTTTAAATATTTTTTGCATGTGCCTATTATGGATTTTTTAAACATATTTTTAAGGACCTTTAGTCGTGGACTTTTTTATGAAGGAAATACTTAAGGACCTACAATTTTGGATTTTTTCTTTAAAAACTATATGTTAGATGTTAAAGAAATATTTTAGAAGGGCTTCGTTCTGGATTTTTTTAAATGCGAATTTTGGATTATTTTAATATTTTAAAGGACCTATTTTTTTAAATAATGTTCAAGGGCCTATAATCGTGGATTTTTAAAAATATATTTGTAAAAGTTCTAATTTTTAAAAAATATTTTTTGATTTGAAAAATGTTGGCATTTTATTTGGAATTCAATAGTCATTTTATCGCAAAATAGTCAGGCTTCACCTAATTATATTTTTATACCCTCCACCATAGTATGGGCTGTATATTAAGTTTCTCATTCCGTTTGTAACACCTCGAAATATACATTTTTGACCCCGTCCGTCTGTGGAAATCATTCTAGATTCCGAACGAAATAAAGAAGGTTGATAAAATTTTACTTAAATGTATGGTATGTCTGCAGGACTTTTGGTATTGAAAATCGGTCATGTAGGCCCCCATATAATGGTACCTCCCTTTTTTCGGTATTTTGGTGATTTAAGCGACATTATTCACCGGAAATGTTTCAAATTTGTTATTTGAAGTTCGCAATGGATACTACAGCCTATGACAGAAAATAGTCGTCTTCGTATAGCCCTCATATAACGGTACATCCCGATATTCGGTTTTAGCGACATTATTCACCAGAACTGCTTCAAATTTGGGATTTTGAAGTTCGTAATGGATACTACAACCTATGACAGAAAATTGTCTGTGGAGGTCCACGTTTTCGTATAGCCACCATAAAACGGTTCCCCCCGATGTTCGGTATTTAGGTGAAGTGATATTATTCACCGGAAATGTTTCAAATTTGTTATTTGAAGTTCGCAATGGATACTACAGCCTATGACAGAAAATAGTCTGTGCAGGTCCACGTCTTCGTATAGCCCCCATAAAACAGTTCCTCCCGATATTCGGTATTTTGATGATTTTAGCTACATTATTCACCGGAAATGTTTC